TACCATGTAATATTTAGTGGAACCATAATTTTTGCATTTGTGCTTGTTTTTGAGGATCACTTATCATGCATGGAATGTGAAGTCAGTTGGTGAGCAAAGGAATAATAAAATGAGAAATCAAACAAGTTGCCATTGCCTCACATTGATGTTCTTTGGCTACCAGTGTTTCTGAGGCAGAATGGGTTTAAACTTGGAAACATAACAACATTGTGACACCAGAGAAGCCTGTTATTGTACATAATCATATGGGGTGTATCTCTAATGTTAGCCGGAGCCCTGACTTGGGCTATGTATTGCTCACCTATATCATTATTAAACCAACCTTCACTTACACAATATTTTCCAAGAATTATTCCTAAGTGGTTTTACTGTGGAATTATTGATAAATATTTTCAAAACATAACGCCATCTAGCTGAATTTGGAACAGTGGTAAAGAAAATAATCATATATATCAAAATTCAACCATTTACCAATGCTGCCACATAACCCTTTTTCTGTTTGTGAAGTCAAATAATGTATAAGTTTGCTATATTCAAATACTGTATTATCTTACACATGAATACATTTAAATGAGCCCAATGAGACTGCAACTAGAGAAGCTGGGAACTGACACAGATTATGAACCACCCTTGTACATAAGTTTCCACATGACTCCCCATCTTATCTGTTGGAAAAGTCGAGGAATACTGTGGATCCATTTTTAAGAGCAAAACTTTAATGCAATTAAATCAAATTGAAATTTTGCTCCAAAAAATGAAAATGTGACCATGGATTCAACAAGAATGAAGTCAAATGACAAACAGGAAACTGACCAAGATCCACTCTTCATGTTACCACAGCATTTGTTACATAGTCTTTTGGCAATGCCAAAGAATATAATCATTATCAGTATATGTATTCAAATCATATATTACTCTGTTGAAAGTGCACCCAGATTCAAGCATTCAAGTCCAAATAGGAAAAAAAACCATGAATTACGATTGATAAAGGCTTTAAACCAAATCTCATGAAGATGTTCACCACTACAACAGCTAAGTTATCTTCTGGTGAGGTCAAAAGAGATGTACATTATGTCACATACACAGTTGATAGATT